AGACTCAGAATCCCTGGAGAGTCTCATATAATCCCAGAACTCCAGGAACTGGGAAACTTTGAGAGAAAAAAAAAAATCCCAAACGTTTTTTCAAATCACATGAGACCCATCAAAAAATGGTCAGAGTTGGCAGCACTACAAAATCTATGATATTGTGGGTTGGATTTATGAGCAAGAATCCTGAGGTTTGGGGATTTTCTTTTTTTTCCTCAGCCCTCGAGGCACAAAGGTGGATTTGGGGAGGACGGCTCTGCCCTGGGAGCACAGCCTGGAGCAGGAGAGGGGTGACAGTGCCCCTCTCAAGCATCCTTGTCCCTTGGGTCAACCTCAGCGATGAAGGTTCTGAGCTGCCAGTCCCTGTGGGTACCACGCTGAGGAAAAGCCACCTCTCAAACCCAGCCGGCAGCATCGCTGGTGAAGCTTGAAAGGTGGAGGTGAGCTGATAGGGGCAGACAAAGAGCTCTCTGTGCCTCCCCAGGTACGAGCAGGGAGTATTTTAGCCCAGGAAGGCAGCTGCAAAAACAGCATTGTGACCACAGCCTGGGAACCTGCATTGGCTCTTCAGAGATGTTTTTAGCAGAGGTTGGGTTTCTTTCTCTCCTTCTCCCCTCGAAGGAACAGTGCAGCCTGCACTTATTTATTATAGCTCCCCTCTAAAAGCCTGTTTTTCTTCTGCCTGGTAGAAGTTGCCTTTCATGGCAACTTTCCAACAAGCTGGCTCCAAGGCTCCTCACCAAAAAGGAAGAGGTTTGTGGTGGGGAGGTCTCCTACCCATGAGGAGGAGGATGAGCCACCATTACCTTCTCCACCCAGCACACCAGCCCTTCTCTTCCACTGGCTTCACAGGGCTCCTTTTGGAGCCCAGCTGCCCCCTTGCCCAGGAGCATGGTTCACGCCCCAGCACATCCAGCTCTCCTGGACTCTTCCACCATTCCTGTCCCCAGACCCAGAGCAGATTCACCCAAGGTCCAGCCCACCCCTGACACCCTCAGTGGTGCTTATGGGAAACCACCAGGCAACGCTGAGGTTTTATAGCTCTTGGGACTTGTAGGCAAGAAGGGAAAAGCTGATGGTGGTCATGCTTGGTCCTTTGTACCACACTGGGATGGTCTTCCTCAAGTTTCAAGGCTTTTTATGGATGAATTCCCAGGTTAGGTCTGAATAAGGTGAGTTTTGCAACCTCTTCTGTCCAGTTCTTTCCATGATATTAACTCCTACACAATTTTTTGTTTCTTTATCATCATCACCATTATCATACTCTGCTAAGGACTAGGTCTGTCAGAAGAGAAATGAAAGGAATAACTTCAGGCTTCTTTGGAACATAAAATCACACCCAAAGGAAGAGGACACCTTCCTCAACAGGTCCCAGTATTGTTTTGGACCAGCTGAGAAGAGCTACAAACTGTTTCACGAGGCTCAGCATAAACCAGGCACGTTCAGATCTAGGCTGGAAGTCACCAGGAGCCTTTGAACAGGTCACCCCTTTCCTTCACATCCTTTCTGAGTCTTCACAGTCATTCAAATGGAGAAGCAGACTGTGTTCATATGGAAGAGTAAGTTCTGCTCATAGGATGCAACTGGGTTCCATCAAGGCTAAAGGCCAGAAATGCCATACTGAGGCAGTGGCCAATAACAAACTCATAGAATCATAGATTCTAACTCTTCAAGAAGAGGAGGAGAAGACTGTATCACATCCTCCCATCCACCTTTGCCTTCATCCCAGATTCTGCTTGTGTGACAGGTCCATGCTCCTGCCACTAATGGCTTCCTTGCTCCTCATGCCAACGCAGTTCCATAAGGCTGCACCCTCAAGGAGCCACCTGGCTCTTTAGAAGCCAAACCCCAGCACTCAGAGCCCATCGTGGCATCTCAGGCTCCACCAAAGAGCCTTGGGATTTCCTTGAAGACTCAAAAAAAACCCCAAGATGTGAGGAACTTGGAGGAAATCAGTCAAGTTGAAAGCCTGAGGCTTTCCTTCTGAAACCTGAGAAATATTTTACCATGTGGGTTTAGTTTCCTTAACGCTCTGAGATGCATGGCACACAGTTCTGGTAAGAGCTTTACTCACAGAGTAACCACTGGCCATTTAATTACCTGTAAATTACCATCTAGTGATAAGATGATTACATGATTAGCAGTGGGATAACGAAGCCTGGAAAGCACAACGTGACTGACAGCTAAATGCAGCATAAATTTTTATTTCTTAACTCAAAATGCAATTTCCTCAGCCATTCATCTTGGACAACTGCATGTCCTGGAGGAAGGGGATGTGATTTACTGAGCCATGAAGCAGTTGAGGGATCCTCGGGGGGTGGCTCCACGAAGACAAACAGCTTTGGGTGTAACGTGAGGTCCCAGCTGTGCCCACAGAAGGGCTACATGATGGCCACATCTCCTCCAAATGTGGCCAGTACCCAGAGTGAGCTCCTAGGGTAGCAGAGAATCTCATTTTAATTGTCTAACCCAACGTGGAAGAAAGCCAGCTGGTGCAAGCAGAAGACATTAAAAGCAGAGAAAGCCAAGGGAACAAAGCTGTGGACACCATCCCCCAGGTCCCACATGCCATGGGACAGCTGGGTGGGAGCATCACCTGTGAAGAGGCTCTACTAACCCTCCTCACTTGCTGTCCCTTTCTAAAGTTTCCCTAGATCTCTGGTGCACAGGAAGCCACCAAAGCTGCTGGCCACACGTTGGTGGTGCTGCTGCTGCAGCTGGATGAGCTGCTGCTGGTGGGGCAAGCTGGGGACATCTCCTCGGTTCGTTCCCATGACATGGCCCTGGTGTGGCCGTGGCTTACCAGTCACACAAAGGAGAACTTTTTTCTGGACTTCTCATGGAATCTCTTTATTTCTCAGAAGCTCATTTTCCCATCTTGCTTGCAATCCACTATGCAACCAGCATCCTCCTCTCCTTCACTGAAGCTGAGACATGGCTCCACAACTCTCCTGTGCCAAACATCCCTCAGTGATCCCATCTGCATGGCACCAGGGGACAACTCCACCTTCTTGAGGGCTTCCCAGAGCCACTCCAGCACCCACCTGGACTCCCAAGTTAGTTTCTAAATCTGCCTCAGTGGGAAAGTGACCCTAGGAGAGCACGTCCCTTGGGGACATATTAGGTGGGAAAGACCACCCAATCTCACCCAATATTAGGAACAATTTCTTTCCTAAAAGGGTTGTCAAGCCCTCGACCAGACTGCCCAGGGCAGTGGTGGAGTCCCCATCTCTGGAGGGATTTAAAAGCCATGGAGATGTGCCACTGAGGGACATGGTTTAGCAGTGACCTGTCAGTGCTGGGGGGATGGTTGGACTATGATCTGAGAAGTCTTTCTAACCAGAATGATCCCATGAGCTGGAGGACCCAGGCAGTGGACAAACAGCCTCTCAAACTCAACCCATCACTGCCTAACAGCCTCCCACGCTGGGATGCTGCACCTCCTGTGGTACACCAGAAATAAATAAACCCCAAATTTACAGACACCGTGCGGAAAGAACCAAGAAAACTACCCCTAAACCAAAACCTGAATTAAAAATAGGTGGGCAGGTCCCTTACCATTGAGGGCATGTGGCATTTATTCACCATAAATTGGTACACAGGAGCAGGAAAGCAAAGCTAGGTAGGGATTCTTTTTTCTTCTTAGCTCCATGGTTCCAAATTACCTGTCTCTAATCCCTCCCACACCTCCAACCCCCATTCACAGGTGCTGACACACAGGTACAGCTCATTGGTTCATTAGAATTACTTTTAATTAAAAATATATGTAAATTATAGAGTGTGCACAGCTTGGAGAGAGGAAAAAAAAAAAAGGAAAGAGAACAAACTTCTGTTTCAATAAAAATCTGACCCCTTTTGAACCATCTGCTTTGCTGGCTTTGTGACATACCGTGAGCTGTTGAATTCCCACGTATAAATAAATTGTCCCAGGAAATTTTACACCTGAAAAGTTCTGCAGTAGAGATTTTTACTTACATATATTTGTTTTTTCTTCTTTCCAGCCTCTCATGATCATTTTCTGCTCCTTTTAAATACATTTACTTAATATCTCACTTAACAAACCCAGACCAATATTCCTTTTTTCCTCTTTTTTTGAGAAGAATAAAAAGAACAAACGATAAAATGAAAATCCAGGATTGCAAACAAGTGTCACCACCGGTTTTATGAGCAAACCTTTTCCTTTTCATCATCTGCATCCTCTCCTCCCCTTTCCCCCCCCAATCACTGCTGGCTCAGAGCTGGTAAAAATCCAGCAGGAGACAAGCTGGGGATGTTTTCAAGTTTAAAAGATACCCCACGTGTATCTTTTGGAAAGACCAGGAGATGGGATGGTCTTTGGAAAGAGCAGGAGATGGGATGGAAAGAAGAGCAAGAGAATTACACATCAGTGGGAAAGGAGATGAGTTTACAGAGCT